TTGTTCCGCCCCCGGCCTCCCGCCCTTCCCCTTCCCGCCCGCTCCCCTTTTCCCCTCAGTCGCCTCGCGCCTGCAGGTAAGCTTAAAAATTTCTCCTCTGCCCCCGGCTATAGCTCCTATTTCCAGTCATGCCATCCTCGTTAGCGGGCTCCGGCCCTGATCCCGAGCCTCGGCCTCTCGTAGTCCTGCGTGAGCGCCTACTACTTCAGTCAGCTTGGCCGGCCATTCACGCGAGGACCTGGTTCTGGCGCGGCCTACTAGGCCTCGCGCAAGGCCTTCCCCCTCCCCCCCGCCTTTTCCCGGTGGCGGCTGCGCAGGAGTCAAGGAGGGCGCGCGCGCGGTAGGGGGGGTGGCGGTGGATTTGTTGGTTGAGGCGGGTGGGGGAGGCGATGGCCGGCTTGTTGGCCAGGCGGGTGAGCGCGGCTCCCCGCGGGGGTCAGGCGCTGGCGCAGCCACACGAGGAGGCGCTACTAGTCCGGCCCCTCCCCCTGGATCGCAGCGCCCCCCCCCGACCGAACCGTTTATTTTTCACCCTCTTTTATAGTCAGTCGAGGGGGGGGGGCCTTTTTAAAAATTTTTTTTAAAGTGGAAAAATGCTTGGATGACTGGGGGTAGGGGGTTCTGCGGAGTTACAGAAAGGGTGACGGGTTCCCAGTTACCGAGTTGTTGAGGACGTTCTCTTGGGTAACGAATTTCGAAATTACAAAATGCCTGCCGATATAAATCCAGACCGAGCTATTTATAGAGGAATAATTGGCTGCATAATTAACAGCTGTATTCCTGGGTTGGGGGGGGACACTCAGTTGAAGTAGGGGAGAAATGTGACAAGATTTCTCTGATTTGGAAGGTTTGGTGCTAAAAAAAATTGCATATTTATGCTTTATCCTAAAAAAATGGCTTCAAATATGTTCTTAGTTTTCTTGCCTTTTTGAACTTGCATTATTGTGGTATCTCTAAAGTGTTTCTAGTAGGTTGAGTTGGCATAAGGAATTCAAATTGCCAGATTTTTTTTTAAACCTTACCTTGCTGAGAAAAATCATTCTTAAAGACCTAATGCACTCACCCTGTCCAGCATTGCTTTCCATGAGTGAAAAGTATTTAGTTGTGTGATGTTGGTAGCAATGAACTGTATTTTGAAAATAAGGAAATGATGTGCTTTATGAATGTGTTTATGTAATATTTTGAAGTCGTGACAGTTCTCCATAAATAGAATGGTGTGGCAGTTCATTAAACACTTTAAAAATATTTAGGATACTATGAGTGTGTTATAGCAGAGTAAAAACTTGTTGGTGTATGGGGGGGAATAGCTGTTGGAGAAGAACATTGATGTTGAGTTTTGAAGGGATGGACATTAAGGATTGTCATTGGAGAAATCTCACAGAATTTGAGACACCCTTTATTTAAAAAAAAAATCTTATCAGGATTAGATGCTAGGAGAGGTACTAAAGGCAAAGTCTTACCTGGACCCAAGTTCTGTTTCTACATAGAAGTAGTTATTATAAAGCAGAAATGTTGGCAACATTGTTTCAAAGGATGGGTGGGGAAAGGGCCATCTTGGACAGTTTGAAAGGCACATTATTATTACTGTTGTCTAAAACCATTGTTAAGATTTAGTAGCTTGAATGAGATTGGTTAAGCTTAATACTCAAGGAAAATTAAATCTGGGTATCAGGCTGATTTGGAAAGGGAAGGATGAATGGAGGACTCAATTATGTTTAATGTATAAAGTTGTATCTCAGAGGGGAATAAGAAACCTCATCCTGCATGGAAGACATCTTGGTATCTTTTTCAGTGAGATTATTGAACTAAATTTTCAAAAAATACTTTGGTGTTACCTATCAGCATTTAAAATTTGTAGTATGAGATAATTTGTTTTTAACTACTTGCTACTTCTAAGAAAATTTGCATGTGTTCTTCTCTAGCTTTCATGTCTAATTGCTACCCAGTTAGGGAAGCAAAAGGACATTTTGTTAGTTTGAGGTTTGCCAGGTGAGTTTGAATTCATTTGAAGCTTACTCTACTGAAGGACAACTGGATGCACAGTTCAGCAGTTCCCCTACAGCCATTGCCAGTGGAAAGAACCTTTCTCATCCTGAGAGTCAGCGGAAACTCTATCATTAATGGAGCAGATTGTGAAGTCTCTTCTATACTTTGTAACAGGATCTGAGCTGTAAATGTTACATAGTTGTGTTGAGTATGTATGCAAGTTTGATAAGCTGTCATTTAAGGAAAAATATTAGGAAAACATTGAAAATGGTGAAAGTAACTGGGAAATCCTATGGGTTTTTTTTGTCTAATTTTGTTCATGTTTATATTTCAGTTTTTGGCTTTCACCCCCAACAGTGACCAAAGACTTGACCACTCAAAGTCCAGCTCCCTGTAACACTGCTCGACATGGACACCGGTGTGATTGAAGGTGGATTAAATGTCACTCTCACCATCCGGCTACTTATGCATGGAAAGGTATGCAGCAGCTTGGGAAATTGGGTCATAGTAACTGCTAGGGGAGGGGCCAGGAAGAGCAGACATGCATCTTGGAGCTCATCAGATTAGCACTGTGGGGCACCTGGCTTTAGCACTCTTCTCTAATAGAGAAGATGTTAGTGTGGTGGGAAAATGAGACAGATTTTACTAGGAAGCTCCACTGAGCAGGCAGCTAGAGATTAGAGCCAAAAGCTGTATCATACCTGATGGTAAGTTCTGATTGTTTTTTAAATGTGTGTACTGGTTCTGGGGTTTCAACTCAGGGTCAATACTGAGCCTGAGTTTGTTTTTGTTTTGCCTTGAGGCTAGCACTCTACCACTTGACCACCTTTCACTTTTTTTGGTCAGTTGTAGGGCTTGAACTCTTTGCCCTCAAGGCTAGTGCTCTAGTACTTGAGCCACAGCACTCTTTTTTTTTTTTTGGTGGTTGTGGGCTTGAGCTCTGGGCTTGGGCACTGTCCCTGTGCTCTTCAGCTGAAGGCAAGTGGTCTATGGCGTGAGCCACAGAGCCACTTCCGGTTTTGTGGTGGTTTATTGGAGATAAGAGTTTCACGGCTGGCTTTGAACTGTTATCCTCAAATCTCAGCCTTCTTAGCTAGGATTATAGGCATGAGCCACCAGCTCCCAGCTACAGCACTAATTTTTTTGAGTGGTTAATTAGAGATAAGAGTCTCATGGGGACTTCTCTGCCTTGGCTAGCTTTGAAGCAAGATCCTCAGATCTCAGCCTCAAGAGTAGCTAGGATTACAAGTGTCAGCCACTGGTATCCAGTTGCATCATTGGCTTTTTTGTGGCTAGCTGGAGATTCTCAGATCTCAGCTTCCTGAGTAGCTAGGATTACAAGCATGAACCACTGGTACCCAGCGATATTAGGTATTTTTAACCTATATAAAGTAGTACGTAGATATTTCATCACTCCTGTATTATTCCTTAAATTCTGATAGCTTCTTCACTCTTAAATTGACTAAAGAAATGTATTGAAAAGCCTTTTTCCAATAAACGTTAAAATCATTCCATTGAATGATAATTTGCATAGTCAGCAGTTGGTTAGCTGGCAGTTAAGACAATTTTCATAATATACTTTTGAGTTAACTCTTATCAACACTAGTTTTATCTATTGTAGGAAGTTGGCAGTATCATCGGAAAGGTAAGAAAATTTTTATTTTAATTGAAATTACTATTTAGTTGATCTCTACTGAAATAGCACTTGGAGCTTATGCTTGACATTTCCTCTTACAGAAAGGAGAATCCGTTAAAAAGATGAGAGAGGAGGTAAGTTATGAAATCTTTTGGGGGGTGTTAGTTTTGGAAAGGGAAAATCAATTAGAACAAGGAGAAACTTTGTTTGAAGGATTAGACAGGAAGGATATGAAGGGAAAGCTTTTATTTTTCTGACTCAGTTAATTGTAAAGACCATAGGATGGTGATAATACACAAGTTTCTGGTAAGTTGGATTTAGTCAGGACTTGGTCTGTTTGAGGGGCAGTTGTGCTGCTGCTTTTTATATACGTTGGCAGCTATTTAGAATGAACTCTACATTATGTACCAGTTCATATCTTTTGAACTATTTTTTCTTATCTAGAGTGGTGCACGTATCAACATCTCAGAAGGAAATTGTCCTGAGAGAATTATCACTTTGGCTGGACCCACTAATGCCATCTTCAAAGCCTTTGCTATGATCATTGACAAACTGGAAGAGGTTTGTTCCTTCATCACTCATGATTGATTTGTTTTTATTTTATGTTTTTGGTACTGGTAGGAATCATACCATGGGGCCAGAAACAACGTAGTGCTTATGTGCCATTTAGCTAGCTGCACCAAAGTCCTTTTTTTTTCTGGTGGGATGTGGAGCTTTAACTCTGGGGCTGGGCTCATCCCTGAGCTCTTTATCAAGGCTGGCGTTCTACCACTTGAGCCACAGGACCACTTCCGGTTTTCTGATGGTTAATTGGAGATAGTCTCATGGACTTTCCTGCTTAGTCTGGCTTTGAACTGCA